ATGGCGCCACCAGGGGGAGCTAGATTCAAAAAGTTCTGATTACTTTGGAAAACATCTTGTAGTACTACATTCCTGCATAGGAAAATTCAGCAAGCTACCTCGCTGTCCCCTGGTCTTAGACGTGCGTATGTTCTGAGGTCGTAGCATTAACTTGGACCTCCGTCAAGATCGGGATACAATCTCATTAGCCATAACATTAGTTCTGATTTCTCCAGGTTGTACAAATAATCGAGACAAAAAGGTCTGATAGTGAAGGGGGGCAAGATGAAATACATCTGTTTTCTTTCTATCCTTTCTCTTTTCCATGCCAATCTCATCATTAATTATATACTCCACAACCGCTAAGCGCTCAATAAGCTACTGGAAACCATATATTCTTCACTTACATATATTATTGCCTCTCTTGCCTCTATATTTATCTTTCTTTCTTATTTGTTATTCGTCCACGATGTTGCCACTAACTTATTGTAGCCAGCACTTTTATTTATTCCGCTGCAAAGCTTTTTTCTTATTTAGTGACTTTCTTGCGCCTAATCCGCATTTGCTAGTCCGTTCCATACCTTACCTTGCTGTAACTTGCTGCAGCCGATTACAGCCCGACTCTTGCAGTTTTTTACGTCTATTACGTGGCTACTTTCAACTTACTATTTGTTATTTTGTTTCTTTCCCTTATTTTTTCTCCCATTTCATTTCAATTTATTCCACACAACGCCTTCCGTTTACGTAGTCCGATCGCCGCAAAGTTCTCTCCGGATTTTTCTTCTATAAACTTTTGCTTTTTGTAACTTTCTCCATTTGGCTTACTCGGCAGAATCGTCGTAACTTTATCCTTTTATCCCCGCCTGCGTACTCGCTCGTTCGCACTATCTCACGCTTGTTGCAAATACCGTTAAGCGTCTCTTGTATGCTCTGGCCGTTGTTCAGCTGGTTTTGCCACCCGGTTGGTCGGTTGGTTGGTTAGGTTGATTGGTTGGCGGGGTTGGTGTTGTTCGTCGTTAGTAGCTTCCTGAATTAGCATAATGTCATTTGGTTTTTATTGTTCTCCATTTAAATGTTTTCTTCTCGATTTTTTTTCTTTCATATTATATTTCTGCTCACTTGCATAACTTGCTGTTGCTTGCTTCCGTTTGCCCGTTTGCGTTTTTATACCCTGAACACTTTCGGTTTTTGAGATATCGATCTGAAATTTCTAGCATGTTCTTTCTTCCCCAAGAAGATGCTCTTTTGTTGGAACTGTCGTTATAGGAACACTAAAGGATCACTATAAGGATCACTAAAACTTATTGATCAAACTCATGACCTTCCATGGAAAACTTTTTTATGTGCCAAGCTGTCTTCACGAAATTCGGCTATATTCTCCGATAATATTGTTCAAATCGATCGACTATATCATATAGCTGTCATACAAACTGAACGATCAAAACCAAGTTTTTGTACGGAAAACAATTTTATTTGACGAGATTGACGAAATATATTTCCGAAACACGTCATGAATTATTGGCTAAAAGAACGTTATAATCTCTGAAGAAATCTTTTAGATCGGACCACTATAGCGTATAGCTGCTATACAAAATGACGGATAAATTTCCAGTATTTGTATGAAAAACTTATTTATTTGCCAAGGTATCTTTCCGAAATTTCTCATGGATTGTTGCCTAAGACAGAGTAGTAATCTCCGAAGAAATCATTCAGATCGGACCACTATAGCATATAGCTGCCATATAAACTGACGTTCAAATTTCCAGTTCTTGTATGGAAAACTTTTTCATCTGTAACGATATTGGATAGAGGTTTGGCACACATAATTGTCCAAAGCAACGGCACAAACTCCGTAAGAATTATTTAGATCGGTTCACTATAGCATATAGTTGTCATACAAATTAAACGTTTGAAATCAACTATTTCTATACTATATATTCTATGCATGAAGGGTATTATAGCTTCTTAGCTACCAAAGTTAACATTTGTTCTTCCCATGTAGTAGTTGTTGTATTTTTGTTGTTGTTATTATTCCTATTGTCATTCGTTGTCCTTGTTGCGGCCGACTGTCATGGTTATGTAAATAATCGTAATTTGGAAAACTCGCTCGCTGAATGTTTTCTACTCACACATAACACATACATGCATGCGTATAAATATACGTACACACATAAACAGATATATATACACACATATACTGATATATATATGCACATATGTATATAGTTATATCTTCACAACAGTTATGTCGCAACTGCAGCTGCTACTACTCATTCTAGTCAACTGCTTCTTGCAACTCCAACCATAATGACGACCGCGTGTTATCTGAAAACTAAGCAACTGTGACTAACCAGTAGTAAACATACATACATACCATACACACATACACTACCTACCGAAAGCACTGAATCTATTTGCTTATCTCACTAATTTATATGAATTTTAGAATTAGTCACAATTGTGGTAGACTCTGTGTGTGGCTATAAAATTTCAATGGTTCTTTAGATTATACTTTAGCTACATACTTTGTGTACGCAGTGTTATTGAAATGCATTTACTGTGTCTTGTCACATGAACTTCCGGGGACTGCGGGCCAGATTAGATTAAGTTAGTGACCTTTCATGCTTAAACGGTGTCAAAAAGGTCCAAAAGAGCATATTTTTGGAATATAAAGTTTGGTGATGACTTCAAGTTTATGACACTATTCAGTTTATAATTATACCGAAGAAAGATGTAGGAGGTATATCACTTTTTCGTATGCATTATAAATACCCTGGTTTGAAACGCGGAGCTAACTTCTTGAATGATCAAATAAATAAAATTACATAAACTAGTTGAGAATTTCATAACCACACAATTTATGCTAACGAAAAGACGGCAAAAAACGCCAACAGATTGCTTAAATGTATTCAAGTACTTTAGAATGGTCTACATAAGGTCTAGTAAAAGGAAGTTCATTATTTTTCCGAAAGATATCTTTTGTGATCTTATCAGTAATCGCTTATTGTGTTAGAAAGATACAATTTTCTATTTTAAAAAAATTTGAAATAATTTTGTGTTTGCTTGACTCAGTGTTGTGTAAGCACGCGTCCAAGATGGATACCATGCAATAAAAAATAATACTCAAAAATTATAATCGAAATAGGCGAAAAAACAAACCAAGAAAATGTGCATACCTTATATGGTACTGATGCTTTAATAGCCAGGCTGAGTTTTGGTTTCGTCGAAATTTTGATGAAAAAGTTTGTCCTGACCTTCGAAAACCGAATGTCGAAAATATTTTTAAAATAATAAAAATTGTCGACTCCGAAGCCCAGGAGCTCTGAAATGCATAATATACCGTTAGGGATATTTTTAATAAGACTGGATACAAAAAGTAGCTTGATGGATTTACTATGGGCGCCGCCACAGAGTTAATGCAAATAACTCTGATGGACCGAATCGCTGCTGAGACGCAATAAAATCGAATTATGAGCTGAGCTTTGGTCAAGAGGTGAGGATTTGTGGTCCTTCAGGACAGCGCAAAGCCACATATGTACAACGATAGTGACTTGCTAGAAGTTCCTGAATTTTGGTTGGTAGGTGTTTATTCATCCATCTTATAAGTTGGACGTTAATCGCAACAAGTGATGGCCACCTGTATCAGGCTATGGCGTATGCTGGTGAAAAATTTGCATATGGTAAAGCTTGCGAAAATCGTGTGTTCCAGTTTTATGTGCATAGCGAGGAGAGTGTTCTGCTCCGATATCGAGAAATACTTTAAGCTACTTAACTGAAATATATAGAAGTATATACTGTTTGGTGTCAAAGTCTTTCCTGAAACTTTACTCTGAACTTGGAGTCAAAAGTATTGGCTAAATCTTGAGAGCAGAAAGATTTATTATGCAATATTTTCAATATTTATATTACCATAAGTGGAATAAAGTAATGTTATGTCGAGGTACGTCGGTTTACTTCATATATACTTGAAGCTTTTGGCTTCTGCTCCCTTTTTTTTTGTTGCAATAATAAAAACCCTTCCCGAAATCTTTTTGAAAAACCTCTGACTTAACAATCTGCAAAGTTGAACTATAATATATTGGATAGTATAGAACTGACTGCTGCGATAAAGGAGCTATTTTCTCTCAAAGTGTTGAAATCGCTTCACTTGAATAAATTAGACCAGCGTAAATAATTTTAGAAATAAAAGGAAATTCATAGTAGATTAAAAACCACGAGAAAGGAGAAAAAAAAAATATAAAATAACAAACATTAATCGAAAAATAAGTTATGAACTATCTGCGTATAAAGGAAGGCGAGAGGTGTGGCTGAATTTTTAAGGGTTAAGAATGGTTTTTGTCGACGCGTCTAATAGGAAAGTTTTATATATCAATGTTGTAGGTTTTAAAAAGATCTATAATTTTTATATTGGCGCCACGCAGCGAAAAGAAGAAACGACTGGCGCGTTGTTGTTAACTCGCGTAAGCGGTGTCTACGGCAGTAAAGAAGAAGAATTTTTGTATTTAGTCCTTAAAATTTATGTGAAATATTCTTATAACCAAATTTGTATAGACTTTCGGCTTATAACATCTTACTGGAAAAAGTCTAAGTTCACTCAAGGAATATCAAGTAGAGTTTGTGTAAGAGGCTGTTGTTTCTTTTTAAATAGGGGCACTTTTTACGTGTCAGGTCCCAAACCCAGTGCACAACCATGGAAGCCTTCTGCCTTTAGCTCTCCTTCAAACGGAACTTCTTTGGCTACCCAAAAGGACAGAACAGAGGATAGTTGGTCTAAGATCGGAAGTCGTGAGCTGCTTGGTCCATATGTAAAAGAATCGTTTTGTAAGGCTACAATAAAATTTCAATTGTTTATTCTAGGTAAGACGATTTTCTTCATTTCAGGCATGATATTGAGAACATTTTGGGATGATTCAAAATGAAATTCTAATTTTTAATTCGATTTGTAGTATTTATTTATGATTTACAATAAAGTACTCACACAATTAAATACTAATATCTCTCTTCTTCTCTTCTCTTTGCAGCATAATGCCAGCCCGACGGTAATGAAGTAACTCTGTACATATATACATATATTTAAATGTGTGTGTGTATATTTAGTTCTACGTCAAAACTTCTACATTCCTTCCTGCCATAATTGTCTTTTTCGTCTAACTCAAAACTAAATTTAATTTAAACTTTTATAAAAAAAAAGTTTTCTACTTATAATATACGCTGAGTGTTTGAAGTTAAAATTTATATATATGTATAAATATGTGTGTGTATATTCGCCGCTGTAAGTGAAGTAAACGGAAAAGAGCAATAGAACTATACGAAAGTTATAGCATGTAAAATAAATAAATCGAAAATAAAGAAAGCAAACGAAATATGTGAAAAGAAATTAAAGAAGATGAAACGAGGTAAATAAGCAACAAAACTTTATTGTGATTTAATAAAATAATAATAACTACTTACTATACGAGCAAGGCAAATAAAAGCTGAAATCATAAAACAAACTAACGAAAATAACGAAAACTGAGAAATTTGTTGTATAAAACACCAAAAAAACAAAAAAAAAAAAAACACAAATTTCAAAACAAACATGCAACTGCACGAATCACAAATCAAACGAAAAATGTCGATAAGTCGATGTTGCCACAATGCCAACGATGGCTTCACGACTATCGCAGCGACGCAAGTCTTCCTCGTACTGACGCTGTTCGTGATTGGGAATCTAAGTGCCTGGCAGGAGAATGTGCGGCCGAAACTTTATGTGGAATTAGGTAAGTGGGAGCATATAAGAAATATTATAAGCTTATTTGAGTAACAGGGTTGCTTTTATTAAAGCATCTTAAGGATGGAGTTGGGTCTTAGCTGGCGAGTGGTATATATTTTAATAATTTGTAACGTAACGTAACAAAGCATAACATAACATTATGTAATGTAGAGTAACTTAGCATAACATAACATAACGAAACGTAACGTAACGAAAGACAACATAAGTTAAAATAACGTAGTATAATATAACTTCAGATAACATAATATAGCTTAACATAAAATAACATAACGTAACGAAGCGGAATGTAACAAAGAGTAACGTAACGTAACCTAAACATAGCATAACATATAAAATAACATAACGCAACGAAGTGTAACGTAACATAACGTGACATAACATAACATAACATAACATAACTTAACATAACATAACATAACATAACATAACATCACATAACATAACATAACATAACATAACATCACATAACATAACATAACATAACATAACATAACGTAACGTAACGCAATGTAACATAACATTATGTAACAAAAATTCGCTTAACATAGCACTGCTTTGCGGGTCGTAGTGTGTGGATTCTCAGAGACTCGAACACGAAAAAAAGCACACATGTACATATATGTATTTACTTACACAAGTGTTAGTACATACTTACTTGCCACAAGCCTAAACAAACACAAATATGCCTACCGGCCGTATTTAGGTGCTCATACCCCATAGGGCGGATATGCCATTTACTTTATTTCTGTAATATAGTATTTCGTACTACATAGCAATAATATATTTTTTTGCTTGGTGGCAATTAGTGCCTGACTTCCGCGCTTGCGTCAACAGCTAGCGCGCGTGTCAAGTGTGTCGGCGCGTTTATGCATTAGTAGCAAGCACTTGTGCTTGTGAACGCCATAAATATATGTGCCACAACTGACAACATGCCACGTACCGCTGTGGCAGTGACTATGGCGCATTGCGCTGCGATTTTATGAAATGTGAAAATTAAATCGTAAATAAAATACATAATGAGCAGCAACAAAAACGCAATAAACAGTTACGGCTATGTTGCTACGCGGCATTGCGCGTATATATAGGCGTGCGCGCGCTGCTGAAATATTTTGTGCCAAATAACATAAAGAGAGACTGGCGGCGAGGACGCTACCGCTGTCGCGAATACAAAAGCGCTGTATTTTTAGCAACCAGCAAGGCCATAATAAACGAAAGCGCACATACATGTGCTGACTACAGCAGTCGCGCGTTTAATTGCGTGCAACGTAAGTGTGTAAGCGCACGTACGATTCGTTAATGTGGTACATTTACGTTGTCATCGGCGACGAGCGCGCAAACATTGTCGACAAGACAACCCAACAGGCAAGACGACACAGCACATGTGTGCGACAAATGCGTGCAGTTTTTGCAAGACCTTGCTTGTGTTGAGCGGTGGCGGCAGTGCAATTTATATTTTTACTACAACACAGCGCACCTTTGCACGTTGCGCGCGCCTTGGTTTGCCGGTTTCGCCAGTCAATGCCAATCCAGCGCTGTTTTCTTTGTCCATACATTTGAGCGTCCGTTTCAACCGATACTTTGTCTGTCGCGGTCGCTGTGGTCTGCCTCCATCACGCCGTCAGTCAGAAAGTTTACTATACGTTTGTCTGCATTTCAGCAGAAATTGAAACCGCAGGCGACGCACGCACTGTCGCCCTTTATGGGCCTATTACCGGTGCCGGTTAGCTTGTGCGCTGCACTTTGCCATTGCTGTCGTTGCGAAACGCTGACTCTTAATTAAGTTCAACGGAAATGCCCATAATTTGATGTCGATAGTCATTATTGTACTTGTAGCATATGTCCGTCACACGGCTATCACTGTGGTCACGCTTATTCCCAGTTGCCATATATGGCGCATACACGAAACGACATTTCGGTGTACAACACTTCGTTGCCGTGGTGAGTTTGGTTAGCTTGCGCGCTTTATATTTTAACTCGTTTCCCCCACTTCTTTGATTTCTTGTATTTCGCAGTCAAAGAGGCGTTGAAGAAGTCGCAATCCACATTGCGCAAATGCCATGAAATGTTTGATAGAATTATTTGTGTAAAGTACAGAAAAAAACTATAGCAAACCGGCTGTCGGTCGGCCATGGTGGTCGAACTAATACAGGTTTTGCTGCTTGTAATAAAAATATGCCAGATTGATTTAATACATTACCTACATCAGTTCCTGTTATGTTGTTTCTTCATGTAATTCTCTGGAAGTTAGGCTTAGTATCCTTGTATTATTGTTCAGGAGAATCATTATTTCTTTGTATTAAGACCTCGTATRCTTCTATTACCTTCAACCTTCGTAAAAGGTTGGAATTTGAACGTCTAAATATTGTCCTAACAACCCATTTTGACTTATTTATCTGCGTCCAGTTATTTGTGTGTTCTGGTTTCTAAAAGATCTTCCACATTTCGCCTTGGTGAAAAAGAAAAAAATGTTTTGATTTTTTCAGTATAAGACACTACAGCTGGTTGTTTGGTTGGTTGGTTGGTGGAAAAGGGAAGCTCCAGATAGCAGACGGTCGCACTTCAGCCATTATTTTTTCAATCGTGCTCCTGGCTGGTAACCAGTCAAGTCGTATTCACCAACACAGTGGTTTTTGTAAAATGCCTAATGCCTAGAGGCAGAAATATACCTCGTCTCATCCGTCTGAAGTGTAAGAAATGAAGATAATGTTCCAAAGGTGCCTTTTAATGACCTCTACTCTATTACTAATTTCTATTTTGCCTAAAAGTAAAAGCGTTTTTGTCTATCTTCAACACTACCCCAAAAGTAACTTTGTTGTAAGCCCTGTGTTGTTATTGTTAAAAAAACTCTAGTGTTTTTCGACGTCCATTGTTTCAAAAAACTCTTTAACAAGCTGGATGGTCTGGGACAGCTATTGTTTGAAGACCTGTAGTGTTTTTCTATGATTGAAATAATTCTTAAAAGAACTGAATTGTCTGAGGCAGGTGAGACGAATTTTTTACCTGACTGCCCCGAATGAGCCAACTCGTTGCCTCGTTTATTTCTGTTCCTATGTGACTCTCCAACAGAAGATTTATGGACTCGTTGGTCAGACATTTCGGCTTGAAAGACTGAATTGTTGTCGTATGGTTCGAAGTTATCTTCTACGTATGGATTACTAAAGAAGAAGTGTGCTCTTGTTCCTATTTCACCTTTTAACCGACGGTGAATATCTAGATTTCGCCATTGAAACTGTCGATAACAGAACTGTTAATTCACTCTTCTCAACTGAGAAACGAAAAAGATGTATTTAGTTTCAGGTGAATATCTTTTTTTCGGTAGCATTGTCAATTCAGCCCTAATTCATTAAGAAGGTCGTGTAAGATAGCATATCCATTTTTACTATAGTTACTTATCCATAAAAGAACTAATGAGGCCTATGTTTAATCAAAAGTGACAACATAATTGGGGAGAGCTTAACGGCTTTCCATTGTCTCAAGTGTAATTATGGTTATGTAACCAGAAGAACAAGCAACTGTGGCTTCTATAAAACCTCGTTTTGTATAATACAATCCGAAATGGTTCTTTCTGATCCAGACGGTGCTTTTGGCGTGGCGTGCTTTTGGCGTGGCTTAACGTCAGTGTAGCCACGTTAGTAAAGAGGATGACAAATTCAGACAGCAGTATTTTAAAATTAAGCAGCAGCTGTTTGCAAGACTTATTCTGCGTTGGATTTTAAGTCTGACGTTATTATTGGTGTTAGTTATGGTTCCAAGATAGAGAAAATTATATCTGACTTCGAAGTTATGACTATCAACAGTGACGCGAGCGCGACGACTGTTTGTTTGATGACAGGCGATACTCGTATTTCGTTCACAACCAGCCCCATATTCTTCGCTTCCATATCCAGTTTGGAGAAGCAGAACTAACTGCGCGGTTATTATGGTCAATCGATGTCATCGGCGTATGCCAAGAGTTGTACACTCTTCTAGAACATTGTACCTTCTTTATTCTATTGACGAAGAGGTGGTATATGTCGATCTTTTTTTCGCGGATATTTTGTAAGATTTGGCACATAGCGAATATTTGATTTTTCAGATTTAGTGAATATCTGATTTTTCAGATCGAAAGCCAAGCAGATGACGATGAGCTTTAGTATTTCGCATAGTTCACTCGATGAAACATTATATGCGATGTATCTCTTAGAAATTTACGCAGATTGTGATGTTCCCTTTTCGGAGTATTGGGTAGAGCGCACTCAGGTTCCAAACATCGAACATGCTTTCGTCCGACTATATCCTGCAAAGAAGCTGTACATGCTGCTTATCAAACCATAAGTCCCTGCCGCTTTCTTGTTCCACAGGTGGGTAAATGCTATTCGGATGTCTTCATAGATCGGGATCATTTGTTCCATTGCTGGCGTTATACTTTCACAGTCGTTCAGTTGGCTGCAAAATAGATCCCTTCATTAATTCTGTAAAGTCTGGTCAACAGTCGGTAGTTTAATTCTTTGGGATTCTGCATGAGTATGCTTCGGTCTTGCAAGTTTCTGTTAGATGCGGCATTTTTCGTCGAATTTTTGATCATTGCACCTGTCGGTCAGCTTAAGCTTATGATCTTTATACTCATGCCTTTCGGCCTTCTGTTTTTTGTTCATATACATCTAGTTCTCTTTTCAACTCTCGGAATCTACTCTACCCCGCTTTAGCTTTGTGTTCTTGTGTTCATACTTATGTATCGCGCTTACCGTTTTAACTTCGGTATCTACTTCACCGCGCTCCTGTTGTGGCCGTTCGGTAGTCAGACTGTTTTTGCCCTCAAGCGCGTATAAATAAATTGGTGTTATCTTCCTGGAATAGTATTTGAAATAAACTGAAGTCTTTGCCAACTTTTGGTGAATATTTTCTGGAATTTATTTTTATTCTTGAATTTAAAGTTTTTTCTCGAATTTGATAAATTACTGTCAGTCAGGCTTTTCTGAGGAACTCCGTTAATTTTAGAACTCCAAA